CCTAACGGTTGTTTGTAACAGACAAAACGAATCGAGATAGATATAGACAAATGTATACATAAATGATCAGAATGAAAAGAGAAATCGATTAAGCTCGATTAAGATTGTCACACGATTACTCGAGTAAAAATTGAGATATCTTAACGAAACTTGGTACGTGCACTTCTTTCGGGCGTAGGACGGACGGTATTGAAAATAGGTAAAATCGGACAATAACCACGCCTACCTCCCATGTAACGGTAGTTTTCAGAAATACGAAAACTGCGATATTTTAGTAACTACTGAAGATTATTCACTTAAAATTGATATTTACAATAACTTTTAGACGAGAAATAAGAATATTATAAATTTTTGGAAAATGGGCGTAGCCACGCCCACTTAAGGTTACATGCGTATATCTCGGTAACCGCTACACCAATTTTTTCCAAACTTGGCACAGTTGTTAGCCTTGCTATAGCATACCAGATGGCCGAAAATTTTTAAAATCGGACAATAACCACGCCCACATCTCATATAACGGTCATTTGGAGAAATACGAAATCTTCGATAAATCAGTAAATATTAAAGCTAATTCATTCAAAATTGACGCTTGCAACAATTCTTAACCAAGAAATACGTTTATGGTAAAATTTTGGAAAATGGGCGTGGCACCGCCCACTTATGATCACATATACATATGTATCTCGGTAACCGCTCTACTAATTTATACCAAACTCGGTATGGTTATTGTGCTTGCCATTTAAAAGCAAAACGTTGAAAATGATTGAAATCGGACTAAAATTGAGGCCGCTTTTTTATAACGGTAAATTTCAGAAATGCTTGAAACTTCAATATTTCGAAATTTAAGGACGCTAATTTACTCAAAATTGATACACCCCGGCTTACCATGTAGCGGTAGCTTTCAGAAAGCTGAAAATCATATATTTAATACTTGCGCCGGGTATTTAATGTTCGGCTCCGCCCGAACTTAGACTTTCTTACTTGCTCTTTTTTCCTACCAAATTTAACTAATTTTTCTGGGTTAATCGCTATGTTTCGCACGTCCCCGGCCGTGGTCTTAGCGTCGTACAAAACAAATGTAGGTATACAAGTTGTGAAGAATGAAATTCTCTACAACTTTGGAATTTCAATATGCTATGTATTTTCAACAGAAATTGTCAAAAAATGGCGAAAACTGTGATAATTTAAATTTTTTTTTGCAGTATGCTAATTTTTTACAATAAAAAATGCTATTTTTAAAAAACCTTCTATACAACAAATGTGGGAAATTAAATTCTCTACATATTTGTATATAACAATTTCTTACAAAAATGCACAATAAGCTTGCAAATTGGAAAAAACCCAAAAAACACCTAACTCCAAGATGGCGGAATGTTGCCAAATGAAATTTAGGGCAAACTGTGGATCCATGATCTACGTGTCAAATAGAAGTAAATTGCATCAAAAAATTGCTGTTAAAAATTTTTTTTAAGAAAAAGTCTAATTTTACTGGGCTATGAATAAAAAATAAGCATTTGTTTTTGCTTAAAATTGCATACATTTTACTTCAATTTTGTTTGAATAAATCGAGCGAAAGCACTGAACTTTTAAGAAAAAGCAATTATGTACTTATTTTTATTCATATGGCTCATTATACACGAAACAATAAGTTGTTCTAACGGAACCTGTTAATCTTCTCAATTACATCGACAATCTATTTTCTTCACTTGTATAGGAACTAAGGCATCCAATCCCGGACCATTTTGTGAATCCCGGGATTTCGGGATCTTACATTGGTAATCCCGGATCCCGGGATATTTCGGGATATTATTACCATTAATTTAAATATGCTAACAAACTAGTTTTGTAGTCTTGCTTTAGATCGGATACTTGATATAAAAATTTATTTGTGTTTTTAACCAAAGAAATATAAATCTTTATTTTATATCAGTTTAAACAGCTAATTACAAACCGAATAAACTAAAAACTATGGAACAGAAATTCATTCACATTGCAGTCGCAGTAATTTTTACAAAAAGTAAAAAATAAGAGATCATTTTTACATTTGCATATCGATGGATGAGTGAAAGATCGACCTATCTCGGCAACCAGTTCGAAAACGCTCTATCTCAAAAAACTTTTCCAGAACGCCCTATTTCAGAATTTAATTGAAAACACCCTATCTCAAAATTCGGTTCAAAAACACCCTATCTCACTTCAAAATGTATTGAAAATATCTTGATATAGGGCGTTTTTGAATCGGCAGCTGACATAGGGCGTTTTTGAAACGAATTCTGAAATAGGGCGTTCTTGAAAAGTTTTTTGAGATAGAGCGTTTTCGAACTGGCTGCCGAGATAGGTCGATCTTCCACTCAGCCATCGATATACTATATATTTATACATATACAAATATAAAGAAATTATATTAAAGTAGTAGTAATAAAGTATAAATACAAGTCGGACAGATTTCGTAAAAAAAAATGATTCGCTTCAAATTTTTTTATGAAATAAGCTAACATGTATTTTCTATAAAAACATGTTCCAAAAAATAGGCGTTTTTCAAGAACTATTTTTAAAATATTTTTTTATGACGAGATGGTTTATTCTGTGAGAGTGTAAGTATTAAACCAGGATTACGATGGTGTAATTTTAAATACCAAATTTACTGGTATCCGCTATGCAAATCAACTTCAAAAAGTTTAACTGTTAATAGCTATGTTAACTTTAGGACAATCATGACCATCATATATATATAAATGTATAGCCTGTTTCTTTAACTTTAAAACGGCGTTAATATGAAGGCTCTACGATGAGCAGAACCCCAGATATAACAATTTGAAAAATCCAAACTTTGACAGATCATACATATATCCGATGAAAAAAAGAAAAAATGTGAAGCCAATCGAAATTGTGACACCAAATTTGGGGTCCGATATGATAAAAAATGCCTCATTTATATGTTATATATATTTTAATCTATACTAATATATATTTTGAAAGCCGTTTTTTTCTGTTCGCAAAGCTCGAGATCGGCTGTACCGATTTTTTTGAAATTTCGGTTATAGGTTCTCGCGGGTCGACGTTGAGCAATGCCACCAGCTCCGTCAGAATTGGGAAAGACCTCTCCGAGCCGTTCGCCGCAAAACGGGGTTTCAGACAGGGCGACTCCCTTTCATGTGACTTCTTTAATCTGGTGTTGGAGAATATAGTAAGAGCTGCAGAACTGAACCGCTCAGGAACAATTTACTACAAGATCGTGCAATTGCTGGCTTATGCCGATGACATCGACATCATCGGTAACAAAAACCGCGAAGTCTGTTCTGCCTTTTCCAAGTTGGATAGGGAAGCAAAGCGAATGGGTCTGGTGGTAAACGAGGACAAGAGGAAGTATCTCCTGTCATCAAACAAACAGTCATCGCATTCGCGCCTTGGTACCCACGTCACTGTTGACAGTTACAATATCGAGAAAGTAGAGAATTTCGTTTACTTGGGAACCAGCATTGACACCGATAATAATGTCAGCAATGAATCCAACGCAGAATCACTCTTGCCAACAAGTGCTACTTTGGAGTGAGTAGGCAATTCAGGAGTCCTCTCTCGACGTACGAAAACCACGCTCTATAAGTCACTCATCATGCCCGTGCTGCTATATGGCGCAGAATCATGGACAATGACAACATTCGCTGAGGCGGCTCTTGGAGTGTTTGAGAGAAAGATTTTGCGGAAGATTTACGGGCCTTTACGCGTTGGCGACGGCGAGTACCGCAGACGATGGAACGATGAGCTGTATGAGCTTTACAACGAGACGGACATAGTGCAGCGAATTAAAATACAGCGGCTACGCTGGCTTGGCCATGTCGTTCGAATGGACACCGGCGCTCCAGCTCTGAAAGTATTCAACTCGGAACACGCTGGTGGTAGCAGAGAAAGAGGGAGGCCCCCACTGTGATGGAAAGATCAGGTGGAGAAGGACTTGGCTTCACTTGGCATTTCCAATTGGCGTCAGTTGGCACAGAGGAGAAACGACTGGCGTGCTTTGCTGAACTCGACCAAAATCGCTTAGGCGGTTACAGCGCCAAAAAAGAAGAAGAAGAAGGTTATAGGTTCTGGATGCGCTTCTCATTGTCTTAGGTAAAAAAAGGTTAAATACTTCCTAAAAATGGAACTGCAGGACTTCAAAAATCCTATAGAATCTAACATACATGCCCACATAACAGCGCTGCTCAGCGCTGAGAGCGTCCTCTGCTGTTCATTCGTACGGAATACATCGCAAAACAATGGAATGTTGACTCTTATGTTAAAAAACAAATATGTATGTACAGTTCATGGAGAAATAATGTAGGCAATTATGTATGTACAGTCGCTGATGTTGCCAGAAGGAGAAACTAACATTGCTGTTAGCACTTACATCTGTATATGCATATTTATGTACATACATATGTATGTATATAATTACGCATAAAAACCATGCTGCTATGTTTTTTGTACGTAAGTGAACGCAATATGAAAAGTAGCAACTCTTATCCAACTATATATATCGCAACGCTCGAGAACGACTGAACCGATTTTTTTGAAATTTTGGACATCTGCTGCAGACGTTCAAAGGATGGTTATCGGCTAACAAAAATCTCGATATATCAAAGGGGCGTGGAACCTCCCATACAAACCGAATTTTTCATACTCCATATCTCTGGAAATGTTCATGGTAGAGTTCTGGAACTTGGTATGGAGATATATGAAATCCATCGCATATTCTTGGAGAAAAATTGGAGCTATCGGAAAAGGGGTCGTGGCACCTCCCATACAAACCGAAGGGTTGCCAGATTTTTTAGGCGCGAAATTAGTACGTTAGACTTTTTCATGCAAAAAAATCAGTACTTTTCAGGACATCTTTGTTCAAAGCAAAATTATGAATGTAAGTAACAGATAATACTTTAAAACGCCAGACTACTTGTTTTTAACAATATTTTGGTACATAAATAAAATATAGTTCATAAAAAATAAAAGTGTTATTCATTTTAACACGAGTTTACATATCATTGTACACAGAAGCCAATAAATTATCTTTTATTTATGACATTTTTGAATAGCAATAATGAGATCATTTCCATCTTCAGTGTTCAAATAGTCAAAGAATTCTATACATTTCATTCTAAAATTACTTTTAAAATGAAGTTCACTTTAAATACTTTTAGCTAGAAGCCGGTTTCTCTCTTTGCGCCAGGAAGCAAACTTTATACTTAAGATCCTCTCAGTTGCTTCGTTTGAGTGTGGTATTGTAAAAAACTAAATTAGATATTTTTTCAAACTGTATAAAAGTACCACAATTTAGGGACTTCATCTATAATTCCTCATGGCTTAAATTAATTTTTTCAACTACGCAAAAACCTTGAAAGACTAACAATTCGCTGAAAAGAATATCTAGCTCTATGTCTTGTATGCAAAACACTTTAACAATGTCAGTAAATTGTGAAAAAAGAGTTTTAAGTTATAGGCGAGAGCAATTCGAATATTCAAATTTGTTGTTATTTAACTGAACGTCGAAAAAAACGTCAGCCTTCTTTTTAAATAATTTAAACCTCATCATATTATCGAAACTGGTACGTAACGACCCGGCGATATGCCCATAAAACGATTGAACTTTTTGTTGTATTTATTTCTTAGGCATATGAAACATTATCTGAAATATATCAACTACTAGCTATACCCTGCCACGCTTTGCTGTGGCATAATCCTGTTACATGATAAATTATTAACAAAACGAAGCATTCGTTTCATATGAGTTTGGTTTTGAAATAAGTACAAAGATATCTGGTTTG